GGGATAAAAGGTTACATTTTACAAGCTTCCAGAGAAAAGGAGCCACAGATTTGAAAAAGCTAAAGTGAGCAGAAAATTTGAAAAAGATTAATGATTTCTTATGATCATCCATGAGACCGATATAATTTTTGAATAGAATTTTGTATATATTTTCTAAGTTGGTATTATTACTGCTCTAAAAATGATTCAAAAAACATAAAATGTGCAACATGTGACCCCATCTCTCTGCTTTTATGTCCATTCTATTACCTAAAACATAAAAGTTACTTGGTGAATGTTCATGTCATACATATTTTCAGGTTCAAATAATCCCTTTATGTAATTGCTAAGTTTTTAATTTTTTTCAATATTCTTTTTCCTTATATGATAGTTGCAAGGATCTCCATTTCTACATGCGCATCATCTGTGTTTTGAACTTCTAGTTTATGTACTTAGAATAATGATATATAAACAATGTTTTTATAAAATAAAAAATATATATATTCATAATGATTTAACTTCTTGTAATTCATAATTTTATAAATGTCATTCATAATGATGTAACTTCTTTTTCGTTATAAAACGTCATGAACTTAGCCGAAAAAAGGGCTTCGAGGGCCGAAAATTGAGAACAGGCCCCGAAGCACTACGGGGATGGCACGGGTAGTTTCCTCATGTCAAATAGGACCTGTGGGGATAGACGGGACGTAATTAGGACGTGTACGTTGGGAGTTGGCGTGAAAAACGCCATAAAGTTAGCCGAAAAAAGGGCTTCGAGGGCTGAAAATTGAGAGCAGCCCCCGACGCACTGCGGGGATGGCGCGAGTAGCTTCCTCGTGTCAAATAGGACCTGTGGGGACAGACGGGACGTAATTAGCACGTGTACGTTGGGAGTTAGCGTGAAAATCGCCATAAACTTAGCCGAAAAAAGGGCTTCGAGGGCCGAAATTTGAAAGCAGCCCCCAAAGCACTATGGGGATGGCACGGGTAGCTTCCTCGTGTCAAATAGGAGTTGTGGGGATAGACGGGACATAATTAGCACGTGTACGTTGGGAGTTAGCGTGAAAAACGCCATGAACTTAGTCGAAAAAAGGGCTTCGAGGGCCGAAATTTGAGAGCAGCCCCTGAAGCACTGCGGGGATGGCACGAGTAGCTTCCTCATGTCAAATAGGACCTATGGGGACAGACGGGACGTAATTAGCACGCGTACGTTGGGGGTTAGTGTGAAAAACGCCATAAACTTAGCCGAAAAAAGGGCTTCGAGGGCCGAAATTTGAGAGCAGCCCCTAAACCACTACGAGGATGGCACGGGTAGCTTCCTCATGTCAAATAGGACCTATGGGGATAGACGGGACGTAATTAACACGTGTACATTGGGAGTTAGCGTGAAAAATGCCATAAACTGAGCCGAAAAAAGGGCTTCGAGGGCCGAAATTTGAGAGCAGCCCCCGAAGTACTGCGGGGATGGCACTGGTAGCTTCCTCGTGTCAAATAGGACTTGTGGGGACAGACGGGGCGTAATTAGCACGTGTACGTTGGGAGTTGGCGTGAAAAATGCATAAAACTTATACAAATATATTAAAGCTTAGCAATATATATATGTTCTATAACGATCTCTATATATGTACAGTTATGAATAAAATATATGTATGTTTACACATTAGAGTAAACTTGAGTTGGGGTTGACTTGGAAATTTGTTTGCACTTTAAATACAAGTTAACGTGTACAGAAATTATATTGAAATTCCTAAATTCAAACTATATTTACATACAATTTCAATTACAATTGAAATCCTTGCAATTTGTGTTTTGTAGATGGCTATAACTTTTTGTTTACAATGGAACTAATGGGTGTAATTTTTGTTGTGTAGATGGCTTTTGGCATTGACATGTAGATTTTCTAATTTTTTCTCGGAAGATACACTTATGCAAAGTTGGGAAGTTTTTTGTCGTCCTATACTTTTTGCTGTGGACTGTGGATGCATCGAACATATAATTTTTGACGGGGTACAAAGTATTTTTGGAGCTTGTATTAATTGCTCCGGTGGTATAGCATGAATAAACCGTGGAATTTGGATGGATCGTACATATAATTTATAGTGGGGTACATAATATTTTTGGAGCTTGTATTACCTTTTGTCGTGGTACATATTACCATAGTAATTTGTACTTTGTCAAATGGTCATTACAATGCATAGTATAGTATAGTAAAAATGTTGTGTATAGAGGACATAATTTTGGTAACGTATTTGGAATGTATGATGTTATTATTTGTAATTGGAATATATATAGTTCGTTCGTATATAAGTTTACATTATTATTTGTAGTTGGAATATATATAGCAGGTGTTCATTTTTGTTTTGGGGTTCTAAGTGAACCATGTAGATGATACATACAGGTTGTATACGTATTACAGGTTGCGGTGGATATATACAAGTTCGGATGAAATTTAGTAAAATTAAACAAACAAAACAAAAATATAAAATGACGCTTTTGGTGACGAATCAATTTGTAGTTAAAAAGAAAAATCTTTTGGCGACTAAATTTTTAGTAGCCAAAACGAATAAAAAAATAGTTATGGCGACTAATAATTTAGTAGCCAAAAAAACTGGAAAATAGTTATGGCGACTAAATGTGTAGTGGCTAAAGCTCAAAAGACTTTTGGCGATTAAATTTTAGTAGCCAAGACAACTCCAAAACAGCTATGGCGACAACCTGTTTTTGTAGCTAAAACCCAACAAATTTTTGGCGACTAAATATTTAGTCGCCAAAACATAATAACATAATCATGGCCGACTAAAGATTAGTAGCTGAAGTTGAACTATTAGCGACTAATAATGTCGCCGCCATAGATATTGTACTTTTTAGCGACAAGAACCTTAGTAGCTAAATAGTTGAGTTAAAATATTTAATGAACGGTTTGGGCAACTAACGTGTTAGTCGGCAATGTCACTTATCCGCGAGTACGACTGTTTTCGTCGCCAATGCCTGTTATTTTTGCCTACTAACACGATAGTCGGTATTCTGTACTAGTTATGGCGACTAAATGGATTTTAGTCGCTAATTCCTTCGGCGACTATGTATGGCCGACAAATCCAACGACCAAATTATTTAGTCGGGAAATACTTTCGGCGACGAATTTTTTAGTCACCAAAAGTGTATTTTCTTGTAGTGACTCTTATCCACATCTTGACACCTCATGCTATATATGTATATATTTACTCATTTTTGTTTATAAATTAGGGCTGGTTTCCTCTCGTCTAAGATTTGAACATGTCCCATTTCAATAATTTGAATAGGTTATGTTGTAGGGAATTTAATATATATTATCTATAAAAAAAAAAAATTAAATCGATCAAATAATTGTAGGATATTCAATTTATCATATTTGTCATCAAAAAAATAAATGATACTATGTTCAATTTATCAAATTTGTCTCTAAAAATTGACAATGCAATAAATTGACCAATTTATAATTATCGGATCTTACTATTTTTTTTAAAATAAATAATATATGCAAAAAAAACTCTATAAAATAAATATTTAAATTACCGAAACGAGATTTATGATAACTATAAGAGTCCAACCTTACAAATTATGAGAAAAAACTATTTACCTACAAACTTTACCCAGATTCTTACCTGAAAATTAATGTGTGATGTGGATTATACTCTGGTATTATGAGATCTACATTTGCAATGGAGTAAATATTGGATTTATTGATGATATTATGTGATAGTATTATCTTCTAATGAACAAACTTGATTTACGGTAGAGATTATAACAATATTGAGTTAATGGGAGATAAGACTTGTTTATTTAGTTCCTTTGCAGCTTTTTATTGGCCGATATATAACATCACGTAAGATGGTATCACTGTTACACGCAAGAAAATTTCATATATTTTTCTTGCAATGAATCCCAACCACAAGATTGTTCGTCTAGATAATTTTTACAAGTAAATTTTGAAGTCGGTTAGTGAAAAGGACATTTTTATAATGTCATATGTTATTTAGTCTAAGGTTTAAAAGTCGCTAAAAAAATGTCCAATATTAGTGGCCCATGGTGGTAGTTGGTGGCGGTAAGGTAAACAAATAGATGACTTTAGACAAATAGTTGGCATTAGAACAGATAAATAGGTAATACGTGTATAGATAAGTGATATTTTGGATAGATAAATAATATTTTGGACAAATAAACATATAGATAATTTTGAACAAATAAATATAATGTTCAATGGATTACGCAATTTTAACTTTAAAAAATTAAACTTAAGCATATTAGACGAAAAAACATTTAGAAAGAAAATGTTTGAGACTCTTAAAAAAATTTCACAATTGTACCTACAATGATATGGAATGATATGTATTAATTTTTGATTTATTATATACTCAATGATATAAAAATCTGACTCTCTTACCACATCATTGTTATAGATGAATTTATAAGTGTGGGTCTCAAACATTATAGTATCCAGTAAGGGTGTAAAAATGACTAGCGGCTTATGGGTGGCCCGAAGCCCACCCGCAGCTTGAGATGGACCCGGCCCGTTTTTTGCCCTCTTGGGCCTAGGCCCGAGCCCATGGGCTAGGGCTTGGGCCATTGTTTTGAAGCCCGACCCGGCCCATCGGCCCGCTTACGGCCCACTTAGGGCCCGACCCAAAGCCCAGCCCGCCCAAGGCTCAGTGTATTTTTTAATAAAAAATAATAAAATTTTGATAGAAAAAAATTTAAAAAATAAAAAAAAAATGATTAGGCCCACCCAAGTTCGAGGCTTGACCCAAGTCTATTGGGCCCGCCCAAAGCCTGAAAACCCATGGGCTTGGGCCTAGGTCTAAGCTTAATTTTTTTGCCCGTGACCCGGCCCGGCCCGAATTTTGGTGAGAACCTACAAAATCTAACATAAATCGGGCCGGGTCAGATTTATACCCCCTAATATCCAGACCTCCATGCTATTCCTCACCATAAATTTTCTGAGTGTACGGATAAATTAATAACTCCTTTTATATATACCCCATCTTGTATCCCTCTCTCCCCCATTCAAATCTTTTCCCCACAAGAAGAAAGAAAACAAACAAACCCAACCCACCCAAACCTGTTATTTTTCTTCTTCTCTCTTCTCCTCCAACCTTTAATTGTTCCATCTTCTCCATCCTCATCATCTGTCTCTTCCAATGAAAACACCCATTTCATAAACTCCAACAACACTAAAACCCATGGATCTCCACACTGACGACCATGATGTTGATCTTGATGAACTTCACAGATGGCCAACTCTCTCTGAGGTAAAACGAAAAAAAAAAAAAACAAAAGCAAAAGCAAAAAACAAAGACCCATAACACCCATTTACACAAAATTTATAACTTGTCATCTTTAACATGAAAAAAACCTTCATTTCTTGATTTTTTTGAATTTCAGGCAATGGAAGAAATCAAAGCAATAGGCAAAATCTCAGGCCCAACAACCATCACAGGCCTATTACTCTACTCAAGAGCCATGATCTCCATGCTCTTCCTTGGCTATCTCGGAGAGCTTGACCTCGCCGGAGGCTCTCTCTCCATGGGCTTCGCCAACATCACCGGCTACTCTGTCATCTCCGGCCTCTCCATGGGCATGGAACCCATTTGCGGCCAAGCTTTCGGAGCCAAGCAACGCAAACTCCTCGGCCTCACTCTTCAAAGAACTGTCCTCCTCCTCCTCTCTACCTCCATACCCATCTCTCTCATCTGGCTCAACATGAAAACAATCCTTCTTTGGACCGGCCAAGACGAAGAAATTTCATCGAAAGCCCATACTTTCATTGTTTTCGCAATTCCAGACTTGTTCTTTCTCTCTCTTCTTCACCCACTTCGTATATATTTGAGGACTCAGAGCATTACATTGCCATTAACGTACTGTTCTGTGATCTCTGTTCTTCTTCATATACCTCTCAATTTCATCCTAGTTGTGTATTTCAAGATGGGTATTGCAGGGGTCGCATTAGCTATGGTTTGGACTAACCTCAATCTTTTTCTTCTTCTTTGTTCTTTCGTCTACTTCTCCGGAGTATACGACGATGATTCATGGGTTTCGCCAAGCTTCGATTGTCTCCGAGGATGGTCTTCTCTGCTCAAACTCGCCGTGCCAACTTGTATTTCAGTCTGTCTTGAATGGTGGTGGTATGAGTTCATGATAATGCTATGTGGACTTCTTGTTAATCCTAAAGCAACCATTGCTTCAATGGGCATTCTTATCCAAACCACCTCTTTAGTCTATGTTTTTCCCTCCTCTTTAAGCCTCGGAGTCTCAACTCGGATCGGCAACGAGCTCGGGGCAAACCGGCCCGCCAAGGCCCGCATTTCGATGATCGTGTCACTTGGTTGCGCGGCGGGGCTAGGCCTCGCCGCAATGGTTTTCACGGCCTCAATAAGACACCGGTGGGGCCGGTTTTTCACAGCAGACGATGAGATTCTTGAGTTGACCGCCGTTGCGTTGCCAATTGTTGGGCTTTGCGAGCTCGGAAACTGCCCGCAAACCACCGGTTGTGGGGTATTGAGAGGGAGTGCAAGGCCGGCCATTGGGGCAAATATCAACTTGGGGTCATTTTACCTGGTGGGTATGCCGGTGGCGATTTTGATGGGCTTTGTGGTCAAAATGGGGTTTGCTGGACTTTGGCTTGGTTTGTTTGCAGCCCAGGCATCATGTGCCGTGCTCATGCTCTTTGTTCTATGTAAAACTGATTGGAAAGTTCAAGTGGAAAGAGCAAAACAGCTCACACAATCTTCATCTTCTACTACTAGTACTGCATGTAATTCTTCATTGCCGATATCATCATCACCATCACTATCAATGTCACCACCATCACTACCACTTCCAGAGGAGTCTGAGGTTGACATTGAAGATATTTTGTGCAATGAAGATGAATTGGTGAAGACAGGTCCACTTGAAACAGAACCTCTCATCATATCTACTATTACTAGCACTACCACGTTCTGCATTGATTGTATATAGTGTGTACTTGTCCATATTTTTAGTGTTGAGGACTTTGACATCAAAATTGTTCATTGGAATTGACTCGTACTTTTTTATTTTTTAAAACGGAGACTCACTTGTACTTGTAATACAGGAACAATTTAGAGCTCTAAATACTGAGTTCTAAATCTACTACTAGCGAGGTGAAAATTAAAAAAAAAAATAAATAAATAAAATAAAATATTATACATTGTAACAATAGATGGGACCCACTATCACATCATTAGTAATATCTCTAATTAGAGGTCTGAAGCTTTATTCCTCGTAATATTGTAGAGAAGTATAATATTTCAATAATGTTGTGAGAAAAAGTACTTTGAAGGTGATATGTGTTTGACAAAATTTGGTCATATTATTTCAAATTTGAATTATATACCACACATTTGTTTTTTGGAGCGTTTTGAAACAGAATTTACATGAGTGCTTTTCATGATATTTAGTATTATTTTAAAAGAATAATGCTATTTATCATAAAAAAAAAAAAAAAGAAATCATGAAAAGCCTTCATGAAACTAATTCAAAAATGATTGCATAATATACAATAAGCCCTACAAACTAATTCAACAGTAGAGAATTTTCATGAAAGTTTTTTAGGATATTTTTTTTATAATGCCCAACATTATTATTTTCAAAATATTTAAATTTTTCTTCTTTCCTCCCTCTTGCTTCTTTTGTTTTTCAGTTAGGAAAATTTTGTACATTAAGTTCATGAGTTTGTAGTGTATTTATTTGAAGAAGAGTAGTGTTATTCACATTTAAAAGTTAGATCTATTTTTAAATTTAATGATGTAGTAGTCTCTTAAAATATCTAAGGGTCCGTTTGGCAAGAAAGTTGTGGGCTAATTTAGCCAATACAATAGAATTGGCTAAATTATCCACAAACCAACAAAACACGTTAAGCCTCCATTTGGAGCGTAACTTACATACAAGGAGGGGTGAAACTATCAAATTACCCCTAGGCTAATATAGCCACTACACAACAGAATTGGCTACTCTAAAAAGACTCCAATGTCAATATAAAGTCAAGTACATTTTCATCATTGAAATCACTGCCCCCCCCCCCTCTCTCTCTCTCTCAGCATACTTTTTTTTGGTTTCAATTTTTAAAAATTATTTTTGTCCAAGTTTTCAATTCATATTTTTTTTTAAATAATTTTTTATATTTTAATCAATTTTCTTTTTCCATTTTATAGATGCACATAATCCAAATAAATTTAAAAAGTATAATATTTGTGGATTTTTTAATACAAAAAATACAAAAAAATAAGAATTAAGTACATTTTCATATTTTGTTATATTCATTGATTTTTATTTTTTTATTTTTTTTATAAATATTTTACTTTTTAAGTACATCTAAAAGGTAAAAAAATAATTAAAAACAAAGTAAAAAAAAAGTAATACAGAAATTATCATGTGCGACGTCAATTAAAAACATAAAAACACAAGTTGAAAACAACAAAAAACCAAAACATTTTCATATTTTTTGTCATGTGCTATGGCAATATATGATTTTTCACATTATTTTAAATAAATGACATGAAAAAATATTTTTCCAAACAAACCAAACAAATTAAAAACAAAGTAAAAAATAAAAAAATATATAAGTAAAAAACATGAATTACCAGTTGCCACATAATTTTTAAAAAAGGAAAACACATGAAAAACCATTTGTGAAAACTAAAAACAAATTAATGTATACAAATTAAAAAAAATAACAAAAACGTAAATTAAAAAAAAAGAACGACAAAAATACGCCTCATCAAAAAAAAAAAAACAGAAATTAGCATTTGCCACGTAATTTACAAATAAATAAAACACATGAAAACCTATTTTTGAAATATAAAAACAAAGGAAAATGAGTGGGAGCTCTAATTAGAGCGACCATTAATGATGTGGCAGTAAGTATGAATTGTGTCTTTTCAGTATGTATTGTGTCTTTTTTTTTTTTTTCTTTTTGTTTTGCCACCTCATTAGTGATGGGTTTAGAGCCACTAAATTAGTGGTCTCTAGCACCACTGAAAAACAAATTAATGTGTACAAATTAAAAAATGACAAAAACGTAAATTAAAAAAAAATAACGAGAAAAATACGCCTCGTTCAAAAATATTTAAAAAAACGTTTATACGTAAAAACAGAAATTACCATTCGCGACGCAATTTAGAAATAAATAAAACACATGAAAACTCATTTTTGAAAATAAAAAAATTATTGTATATCAATAAAAATAAATAAGACAAAAAATGTAAATTAAAGAACAAGAACTAATTAATGTATAAAAAAAGAAAAATGACAAAAACATAAATTTAAAAAAAAAATCAAAATACGCCAAGTCCAAACCCAAAAAAAAAAAAAAACCAAACAAAACAATTTCGGTCCACACAAGGTGACGTGGAAGACCAAAAAGAAATGAGTTGACATATAAAACACATGTGAAGGGCAGTTTGGTAATTTACCATGAAGACACCTCACCAAAAAGTCAAAAAAAGTCAAAAAATCATTCTTAAATCAGGCTTTTTAGCCCCAAGCTAAAATTGCTAAAAAATCAAAAAGACAAAAAGCCAACCCACTTCCCAAACGGAGGCTAAGTAAACTTTGTTTCATATATCTTCTCGAGCAATCAATCAATTACTTCTTTTATACATCACTAGTCTAGAAAGTGAGACTGAAAAATGAATTTACATATCATTTAAACAACATATCGACGGGAAGTTAAATTATTAATAACAATTGATGGAAAAAACTATAAGTTAAAGTTTTAAAGTTGCAAAGTTTTTCATTAATATGTAACTCTTTTTCTGAATTTTAATTATTATAGGTTCTTCAATTTTTTATCTATTAATAAAAAATTAGTTTATATAATATTAACCTTTTAATTAATATATGCTGTAATAAAATAACTGTAGAATAATAGAATAGAAACACGTCTTATATGTTGATTCGCCTTGGTATGAGAGAGAGAGAGAGAGAGAGGTGAGTGGGTGAGTGAGGATAGTAAATAAAATAAAATAAATAAAAATAATTTATCCGTTGGGTTGAAAGCTCAAACATTGAGTGTTTATATTTAAGAGCTTCTTCCTTCCATGCTATTGGAGAATATAGAGAAGCGGTATTAGGGATTCTTTTTCTTGATTTTCCCATTTAAACTACTGGGCATCATGCTCAATTCTTCTTTGCTTTGGTTTACTAAATTTCATTTTATGATAAAGGTGAAGGATTATGATGCAGAAAATTACAAATTGTATGAAGAAGTTGGAGAAGGTGTCAGCGCCACTGTTCACCGGGCTCTCTGCATTCCTTTGTGTTGACTGGGATTTGGGAATGTATCCTGCTCAAAATTGTCTTTGTTGTACATGAACCTATTATGATTAATTGAATACGAATCCCTATTCTGCAGTGTAATGATGTGTAATATGCTTGACTATTCCATTGCATCTGCATGTGCAAGCAAATGACTTAACCTATTTTTTCTTTTTATTGTGTTTGTTGTTTGATTTTGGTTCAGACACAATCATGTAATGTTTATTTAGTCAATATATTGAAGTAGCTGTAAAATTTTATTCATATTATTGTTATTTTTCAGTTTTATTACAGGTATGTTTTTTAGTTAAATATAACAGATTCAGAACAATATTTTTTTTAAAAAAAGAGCTATAACGGCGTTTTTTCAAAACGCCACTACAGTGCCAACGGACATTTTTTTTAAAATAAAAAAATCTATCACGGCGTTTTAAAAACGTCGCTAAATATTGGATGATGTCATTTTATCATTATTTATCGCATTTAGCGGCGTTTTTAAAAACGCCGCCTATACTAATTTTACGACGTTTTTAAAGCGTCATAAACTTATAGCGACGGCCGCGTCCTCGACGTTTGGTGATAAGCGTCACTAAAGGAATTAGCGGCGTTTTTCATACATATAGCGGCGTTTTTAAAACGCCGCTAAAAGCCATTTTTCCAACAGTGTATGATCATAGAAAAATTTCATCAATGAATTTTAGCTAATAAAAAATATATATATTAGATCTCTCCAACTATCCAAAGTTAGATATGAATATTTCACTAATTTTTCCAAACATATATGTACAAAATTTAGGTAAAAGATATTCAAAAAGGAGAATGATAGTATATTCAATTTTCATACGGTCAAATTTACATCTTGAATTAATTTAACTCAAGTATTAAATTTTTAAAAAATGATATACAAACCTATTTTTTAGACTTATTTTCTAGATCTAATGATATGTAAATGATATGATTAGTTGATAACTACGAAAAATATGAGAAAGAGCGTTACATTAGATATCTTAATTGATTATTACATTATTGGACTTAAAGAGTGAATCTAATTTTTAGACTTGAATAACAATACTTTAAATTTTTTGGATGTTTTCCTGTCGGCCCTTTTTGGCTCTTTGGCCTTTTTAGCTTGGGGCTAAAAACCCTCGCTTGGATGGAATTTTTGGTTCTTTTTTTTTTTTTTTTACTTTTGTAAGAGAAAAAATGAAATAATTATGATTTGGATGTGACATTTTGTCTTATTGGGATAAAAAACATATTTTGTCTTTTTATGACTAAAATAGTCTCAACTCAACCCAACACAACCCAAACCTTCATGCCAAACGAATGTATGTAGCTATTCCATATGCTTTTTTTTTTCTTTTTTTTTTTATATTTTATTATGTGTTTGTTTTAAGAACTGTTATATATTGCATTCTTTATATCAATTTATATCTCCAAAATATATGATAAGGTGTTATGAAAGTTTTAGTTTTTTAATGATTATTTTCAAACAAATAATCAATCATAGTATCTACATAGCTAATAATACAAAACTACAACCCCCAAAAAATGATAATATATATATGTTGCTCTTAACACAATGAGAATGAAGATCATTCCGTCAAAACTGACTGACCTGGCCCAATTTATCCACTTTTAAGCGATTTCGACATTATAGGTGGACGGATGCGGATGGACATTTTCTAAATCCGTTTATGTTCGAATGGATGGTAGATAAGAAGTCACCCAACCCAACCCAACCCAATCTATCAAACCCCCTTAAGAAAATGATTTTATATTTTTATGTTTTGTATGTTAAAAAAAAAGACATTATATTTCTAAATAATATTAGCTGTTTATGAAATATGAAAATTTGACCTTTATTTTAATTATAAAAAATTAAGAATACAAAATTTTAAACTCAAATAAGGCTCAAAATAGTAAAAAATTACTCTAAAATATTAAAGTCCAAACTACCAAATCAATCTGAATCCATCTGCCAATCCACACGGCCAACTCAATATGCATCCGTTAACTAAGCAAACGGATGGGGATTGATTTTTTTCCAATCTGCTTAAGTTTGAACGAATGGTGAATAAGAGATCACCTGACCTAACCCAACCCGGGACATGAACACCCCTAATAAAAATAATATAATGATTCACAAATGAAAGTTGCAAAAACCAATTAAAATAACAACTCGATATTAGTAAGAGAGGGGTTATAGATTACAAAAAAAAATTATAACGAAGTTAGTCACCAAAACATGAAATTAGTGGTGCCCACCTTGGTTTTTGATTAAAAAAAAATACACAATAATTGATTGCAAATTTAGTGACAACTTTTAATTCTCTCTAGACATTTTGTATTACAGCAATTCTAGGTATTATGAAAATAATCATGAAAGTTTTGTAATTCTTAAATTATACTTAGAATAAAGCACTACACACTAATCAAGATAATTCAAGGATCATAACTCTTTTATGATAATTTTCATAATTTTTTTTTTCATAATTCCTAACTTTTCTTTTAACATATTATCAATTACACATAGTAACAATTTTGAGATTCTTTAGCCGAATACATTCTCGATGACAATTTTAAAACACATTCATGTGATTAGAGATGCATTAAAAAAAAATTTAGGTACAAAAAGTTATGCGCCAAGCACTTTGGGATATAAAGCCTTTTTAGACACAAATTTTAATTAAATTTTTGAATAAATAAATACCCTAACCAATAACCAACAAAAAAGTGATACAACTCTCTGTTTTGATGTTTTATGTACCTGCAAACCTTGAGAGAGAGAGAGAAAGAGAGAGAGAGAGAGAGAGAGGGGGGGGCTTGGTTTGCTTGGAAATTGAGTAGATTGGCTGTGAAGAATGTAATAATTGGGAGGAGAGAGAGAGAGAGGGGCATCTACAGTAGAAGTGTTTGGATGGGGGTGTGGAGGGGCCCTGCTTCTAACTGAAGACACAAAAACCAGTTATTATTGACTCTGTCTACTTCTCCCATGACAAAATTTGGAGCAGTATCCTCTGCCACACCACTTCTCATCACCCTCCATTGGCTCTACAGAACCTTTCACTAACCAACACAAACCACCACCCCACCAGAAAGAAGAAAATGCATCACAATATTGCATCCAAGAAAAATTAAAAAATTAAAAACAAAATCTATCTATGGATATATATCCACACATACATGCGCAGCTGTAACAAACCTTACCTTCTTATGCTATTAAAATGTCCTTTTTTTTTTAAGAGTAAAATAAAATTAGATAGATAGGAACGGAACTCCAACCTTGAATTTAATGAAAAAAATTCTTACCACTTAAGTAGCATACAATATATAATAAATATTTTATTTTATTATTATTTATTTGAATTGAACACATATCGCACTAATATATATATATATATATATATGTAAATATATGCTTGCATTTATGTGTTTGTATGGGTGGGGATGGATTCAACAGGCGGCTGAGAAAGTCGCCCCTCCACCAAATTTTAAAAATCTTTTTTTTATCAAGTATATAGTATTAGTTAGGATTAGAATGTTGCGTCTGCCTTAACGTATACATAAAGAGAGAGAATATACTTTTTTTGTGATACATCCAAAACATTAGTATTCTTTTTTTCCTTTCTTTTCTTTTCTTTATTTTGTTAGTTTCTTCATACCACATCTCATCTCTCGCCTTTCCTTATCTACTTTATCAATTTATTTTAATTATCTCCATTTATACTTAGGATCTATATAGTATTTGAGCATTGCTAGTTGTGGGATTAGCGATCATCTTATGGATTCGCTGTCACGTATGGACATGGTATTCCTGTTTGATAGCCCATTCCATTGGAGCTTATGGCACAGTCTCTCATACCCAGTTGCGGGTTTTGGTGGGATAGCAAGGGCTTGATTTTAACAATTAGTATCAGAGCAAGGTCGCAGGTTCAAGTCCCCCCAGGTATCGTAGGGGAGAGATTGTTGTTTATGGGACCAACGAGCACCTTATGGACTTGTTGTCACGTATGGATGTGGCATCAGTGCTTAATAACCCATCCTGTTGGCGCTTATGGCGCAACCCCTCATGCCCACTTACAGGTTTTGATAAGATGACAAGCGTTTGATCCTAACAATATAATTCAAATAATTATACATTCAGATTTTTATAAGAAAAGGTTTAGAGTTCGGGTTTTCAAAGAATTGTCGAATGCATTATTTTTCTAATTTAACATATTAACATCTTCCTTCGTATCCCAGAAAAATATTATATATATCACCTCTGTAACCTTTTTACTTATAGCACTGCTACAATCACCGGCTCCTCACAAATGTTAACATCTATAGACGATTACATTCATAGGTACAAACATTTGTAATGAGTTGGAAATTTCAATAATCTAATATTTCGGTGTATCTTTTCCTTTTTACTTGTGACAATAAATTGTTTTTGAAATATGTGGTTTTGGAAGAACTTTACATCATCAGCTGCACAGTTGAGATTCTTATCTTTGTCTCATATTTTGTTTTGGTACTCATTTTTCTACCTCACATGATATTCTATCTTTATTGCTCTTGCAATTATTATATTATTATTGTTATTATTTCTAATGTATCCGCCCCCTACTTCCAATATCCCATTTATAATAAAGTTATGGAATATGAGGTATGACATACTTTTTTTTAGAAGTACCATTACCAAAATGGTGAAGTAATTATACGAAACAAAATAAATAAACCCAACACAACACAAAGTAGAATCACATGATAAATAGTGAAAATCGAATTCTAAACTTATTTAGAATTGTAACATCCTATCTCACATCGCTTAGGTAGAAAAAGTTTTTGAGTTTTATAAGTAAGTTCACTTCACTTGTTAACGTATATTTAAAAGTCGTGATGAATGTCTAGTCTAAGGTTGACAATATTCTTACGGCTTGAGATGAGATGGGGATATTACAAAAATTTTTAAAAAAATCCCATTGATTCACTTTTTTAAGTAAGGGTATTTTAAACTTATTTTTCAAATTAAATGAAAATATGGTTGCTAAACACGTTTAAAAGTGCTATCTAGTTTTCTATTTACATTCAAACTATGGTGAAACGCGGTTAATAACTACACTTTTTCTACCCTTCAACTATTAAGACTTGTATTCATAATCTAACTTTGAATTGAAAGAATGAAAAAGCAT